CTACTACTTATGAAAAATAAAATAAAGATAAGGAATGGGAAAGAGAGTATTCATAGAAATGTATATCCTCTTTTTCACATTTATCTATTGTAGGTTGCTGGGTGTTAACACTTTTGACAATCAGGCTATTTATTTCAGTGTCTATAAATGGATTTAGAAGCCTAAATTTAGGCACCTATTTTTAAAAATCTTGGTCCCAGTTTCTAGTTCTTTCATAACTCATTACTCTACCCCATCCACTCCCAATATTCTCCTACCTTGGATGATCCCTCAGGCAAAGGAAGATCTGAGCAGTGTGTCATGGAGTGGAAACTAGATGCCTCAAGCAAAGTCACTGTTGCTTGAGAGAGCAATGAGGCCTGCATGACTGAGTGCAGGCAGCTCTATTTCTCCAGCTCTTCAGCAGCTGTGTTCCCCCTTCCATATGTTAGGGTACACGGAGCTACTAGAAAAATGGAGCTGTCTACCCTCTGAAGAAGCTCCTAAATGCAGAGGCTTCTAGTGCTGCCAGATCAGACGGTTGGCCATTTTGGACTCATTTGTCTGAGGGTATGTTTACTTTAGAATTACTGTAGTAGCACAACTGCAACTGCAGCACTATAGTGTAGATACTTACTACAGAGATGGAAGGGGTTCTTTCATCACTGTAGTTATAGGTGCTGGAACTGCGGGTGCTGCCACACCCCCTGGCTTGAAGTGGTTTCCATTATACACAGGGTTTACAGTTTGGTTCAATGGCTCTCAGCACCTCCATTATAAAAATTGTTTCAGCGCCCCTGACTGTAGTAACTCTACTGCCTTTCCAAGAGGCAGTAGCTAGGTTGATGGAAGCATTCTTCTGTTAAGAACATAACAACAGCCATACTAGGTCAGACCAAAGATCCATCCAGCCCAGAAGAGGCAATGAACAGACCAGGTAATCATCAAGTGATCCATCCCCTGTCACCCATTCCCAGCTTCTGGCAAACAGAGGCTAGGGACACCATCCCTGTCCATCCTGGATAATAAGTGACGGACCTATCCTCCATGAATAGGAGTTCCTTTTTGAACCCTGTTATAGTCATGGTCTTCACAACATCCTCTGGCAAGGAATTCCACAGGTTGACTGTGTTGTGCGAAGAAATACTTCTTTTTGTTTGTTTTAAACTTGCTGCCTATTAATTTCATTTGGTGACCCCTAGTTCTTGTGTTATGAGAAGGAGTAAATAACACTTCCTTATTTACTTTCTCTACACCTGTCATGATTTTATAGACCTCTATCAAATCCCCTTTAGTCGTCTCTTTTCCAAGCTGAAAAGTCCCAGCCTTTTTAATCTCTCCTAATATGGAAGCTGTTCGAAATCCCTAATAATTTTTGTTGCCCTTTGCTGTACCTTTTCCAATTCCAATGTATCTTTTTTGAGATGGGGTGAGCTGATCTACACAAAAAGTATTCAAGATGTGGACGTACCATCAATTTGTATAGAGGCAATATGATATTTTCTGTCTTATCTATCCTTTTCCTAATGATTCCCAACATTCAGTTAGCTTTTGTGACTGCCACTGCACACTGATACTCCTGAGGGCATTCTGTGCCAAAAAATTAAAAATTCTGCACACAATATTTTAAAATTCTGCAAATTTTGTCAAATAAATGTGGAGGCTCCAGCATAGCATTGGGGAACACAGGCCACTGGTTGCACAGAGGTGGGTGATTACTGTGCAGCTCACCCCTCCTGGGACACAGACTCAGTGGTGAGGCTGCACCCAACCCTGACACAGCACAAGGACCGGGCCTGCCCCAAAAACACCCCAGAGCCCTGTCCCTCCATGCCAGGTGCACCAGGTGTCGATAGGCAGGGTCAGCAAGGTAGGATCCAAGTGTGGAGGGGGTTAGCATGGGCGGAATCCAGGTGTGGGTTGAGAGGGTTCGGTGTGTGGTAATCTGGGTGCAGGCAGTTCAGTTGGGTTCTGGGTGTGGGGGGGACCTGGATGCACTGGGGCTTGTTGGGAGGTTCTGGGTGCAACCGTAATGGTACTGTGCAGGGGGGTCCAGGTGAAGGTAGTTGGGGCTCAGTGGAGGGGTCTGAGTGTGGGTGGGGATAGAGCTCAGCAGGGGGGTTGGTGTGGGGGGGGCTCAGTGGGGAGGGTCCAGATGCTGAGAGAGTGGGGCTCAGTGTGGTTGGGATCCAGGTGCACCTGGTTGGGGCTCAGTAGGGTGGGGATCTCGGTGCGGGTGGCTCATCAGGGTGGTCCAGGTGCAGAGGCAGTGGAGCTCATCGGGGGGGGGGGGGTTGGGGGGGTGGTGGGGGGGGGGGGTGAGGCTCAGCAGAAGGGTCTGGATGCACGGGGGTTGGACAGATGTGGGAGTAGCTCCCTGTACAGTGATCCATCCTGCTGCAGCTGAGGAGCAATGGGTGCAGGAAGCACGGGGTAGGTGGGAGAGTTTGCAGAGCTTCCTACAGCTGGGGGAGAAATCTGGGGGTGGGTCTGACCCAACCCCGGATCCCGTGCATGGGAAGAGGAAGTCCCGTCTTCCCCAGTCCAGACGGAACTTGCAGCTGAGCCTGACGCAGGGTAGGAGCCACCAGCTGTGTCTTCCCCAATCCTGCCCCACAGTGATTTACCTCTCTGCCGGCTGCCCTGGGCACCCAAAACATACTGTTGCATGATCGCTCTTGTGGTTTCTCTTTGCTTCCCTGTCAGTTTTCTGCGGGGAAACAAAGAAATCCTGTGCATGCGCAGTGATGCAGATTTCCCCCATGGGTAACATTGAGTGGATGTTTTCAGAGAATTATCCACAGTGACTCCAAGATCTCTTTCTTGAGTGGTAACACTTAATTTAGACCCCATCATTTTATATGTATAGTTGGGATTATGTCTTCCAATATGCATTACTTTGCATTTATCAACACTGAATTTCATCTGCCTTTTTGTTGCCCAGTCACCCAGTTTTGTGAGGTCCCTTTGTAGCTCTTTGCAGTCTGCTTTGGACTTAACTATCTTCAGTAGTTTTGTATCATCTGCAAAATTTGCCACCTCACTGTTTACCCCATAGGCTGGAGCACCCATGGGGAAAAATTAGTGAGTGCTCTGCACACACTGGCAGCCAAGCTCCCCTCCGTGCCACCCACCCCCCGCCCCACCTCCTCCTCCTTCCCTGAGCACCCCTGGTCCCCGCTCCTCCACCTACCTCCCAGCGCTTGTCGCTGCCAAACAGCTGCTCCAGGAGGGAGGGGGGAGGAGCAGGAACGTGGCGCACTCAGGGAAGGAGGCAGGGAAGAGGTGGGGCCGGGGCGGGGATTTGGGGAAGGAATCAGAATAGGGGCAGGGAGGGGGCGGAGTTGGGGCAGGGACTTTGGGGAAGGGCTTGGAATGGGGGCAGGCAGGGATGGGAGGGAGCGGGGTAGGGGTGAAGTCAGGGCAGGGCTGGGGGCAGAGGGGGGTTGAGCACCCACCGGCACGAGCAGAAGTTGGCGCCTATGGTTTACCCCTTTTTCCAGATCATTTATGAATATGTTGAACAACACTGGTCCCTGTATAGACCGCTGGGGGCATCACTATTTACCTATCTCCATTTTGAAAAACTGACCATTTATTTCTACCTTTTGTTTCCTATCTTTTAACCAGTTACTGAGCCATGAGAGGACCTTCCCTCTTATTCCATTACAGCTTACTTTGCTTAAGAGCCTTTGGTGATGGACCTTGTCAAAGACTTTCTGAAAATCTAAGTACACTATATCCACTGGATCACCCTTGGTCACATGTTTATTGACCCCCTCAAAGAATTCTAATAGATTGGTGTGGCATGATTTCCATTTACAAAAGCCACGTTGACTTTCCCCCAATAAATCATGTTTAGCTATATGTCTGATAATTCTGTTCTTTACTATAGTTTCAACCAATTTGCCTGATACGGAAGTTAGGCTTACTGGCCTGTAATTGCCGAGATCACCTCTGGAGCCTTTTAAAAAAATTAGCATCACATTAGCTATCCTCCAGTCATCTGGTACAGAAGCTGATTTAAATGATAGATTACAAACCACAGTTAGTAGTTCTGCAATTTCACATTTGAGTTCCTTCAGAACTCTTGGGGTGAATACCATCTGGTCCTGGTGATTTATTATTGTGTAATTTAATTTGTTCTAAAACCTCCTCTAAAGACACCTCAGTCTGGGACAGTTCCTCAGTTATCACCTAAAAAGAATGGCTCAGGTTTGGGAATCTCCCTCACATCCTCTGCATTGGTGAAGACAGATGTAAAGAATTAATGTAGTATCTCTGCAATGGCCTTACCTTCCTTGAGTGCTCCTTTAGCATCTTGATACGATAGTCCAGTTGTTTAGCAGGTTTCCTGCTTCTGATGTTGACCTAGCATTATCAACTTTGGCACTTAGGTCATCTTAACTATGTCTCTCGGGGGTTGAAAAATTCACCCTAAGCGATGTAGGTAAGCTGACCTTAGTTTTAGGTGTAGACCAGTCCTGAACAACATCCTATCTCTAGACAAACAAATAAGTGGAAGTGTGCAGATCTGGTATAACATAGCCCGAATGAAGTGCAAACCAATGTAGGCCTCATGCCACCTTTCTGTCCTTTAACTACACAGAACACTCTACTAGGGTAACATAATACAAGATAATTTAATCGTACAGAATAAAAATGATCCAACATGGATAAGAAAAGTGAGGAGTTACTGTAGTTTACATGGGATCAGAGTAACAGAGACAATATGAATAACCAATGGTGTTCAAATCTTCAGACCTATGAGCTCCATATCTTTGGTTTCTCAAAGTATTGTTCTCTGGTTAGTGCCACTTGTGATGCACCCTCTCTCTGAAGCATCTGTAGAGGTGACATTATTGCTATCTCACTAGTTAAGATTGGCAATATTGTAAATTAAAAACAGAAGTACAGAAAAGCAAAATAAAAGATAGATAATTGTCCTCTGGGGTAAATAAAGTTTTAATTTGAATCTCTTCTTCACAAAGGCTTAAACATGCTTCTTTTTTCCCCTCTAGCAATATTTCCAAGAATTCGCTAAAAACTGTCTTGCTGCAACTTGAATGCCATTTTACATGGACTTTGCTGAAGGATGATGTTGATCTTGATAACTTAGAGGAAACAATTTGTGATCAGATTGAGTTTCTAATCACAAAATCCAAAATCAGTAATTATAATCTGCTAGCCTATGTGAAACACATGAAAGGCAACAGTGAGGAAGCTCTGGAAAGTCTACAAAAAGCTGAAGGAGAAGTTCAAACAAATCATGCAGATGAGGTTGACAGAAAAATTCTTGTTACCTGGGGGAACTATGCTTGGGTCTATTACCATATGAACAAACTTCAAGAAGCTCAATCCTACATAGACAAGGTAGAAAGCAGCTGCAAAAAGCTCTCAAGTGCATCTCGCTATAAGATTCAACTGCCTGAGATCTACTGTGAACAAGGGTGGGCACTATTAAAGTTTGGAATAAAGTATTATGAAAGAGCAAAGAAATGCTTTGAAAAGGCTCTGGAAGAGGAACCCAACAATCCAGAATTTAATTCTGGCTATGCAATTGCCATATATCGCCTGGAAGATTTTCTTACAAAAGGCTCTTCTGGTGAGGACTCATCACTGGAACCTTTAAGGCGTGCAGTAAGACTGAATCCAAACGACACTTTTGTTATGGCACTCCTTGCACTGAAACTTCAGGACACAGACCAAGTCGAAGAAGGAGAAAAGTACATCAAAGAAGCATTGCAAAAAACCCCAGATCTTCCCTATTTATTGCGATATGCTGCCAAGTTTTACAGAAAAAAAGGACTAGTGGAGAAATCACTGGGGTTTTTGAAAAAGGCACTGGAATTTACACCAACCTCTGGCTTCCTGCATCATCAGATAGGTCTTTGCTACAGAACACAATTATACAAAATGAAAAAAGATACAAAATATCCACGTAGAGAGCAGATGGAGGAACTGATTCGATTGTGCATTTTTCATTTTAAAATGGTGGTGGAGCAAAAATCAAAGTTTATGTATGCCTATATTGACCTAGCAAGCATGTATGCAGAAGGAAATCAATATCAAGAAGCAGAAGACACCTTTCAAAAAGTATTTAAGATGGAGAAACTCACCTGTGATGAGAAGCAACAACTCCACTACCGCTATGGACGCTTTCAGGAATATCACAAAAAGTCTGAATCTGAGGCTATTAATCATTACACAAAAGGGCTGAAAATTGAGAAAAACTCACATGAAAGAAACCTGTGTAAAGATGCTCTGAAGAAATTAATAGAAAGGAGAATTCAGAGAGGCTCTGCAGATGCTAAAAATTTGGGTATGCTTGGACTTATTCACCAACTGAATGGGGAGAAGCCTCAAGCAATTGAGTGTTATGAGAAAGCCCTGGCATTGGAGCCTGATAATGAAGAATACTTAAGTGCTCTCTGTGAGATACGGCTTTCCATAGAAATCTAAAGCTTCTAACAGCTGGCAGAGAATCCATTTCTGTAACCACCCAATTTTTTTTTTTCAATGAAGTTTGTCAACTTCCTCCATTATTTGTATGATAGCCTGAATTCCCCATTTAGGCAAAACTTGCATTGGAATTAGGCCTATAGTTTGAACATTACTTATTGGCATGTAGTGCAGAATTTGTAATCCTAGCAATTAATGAGCTCTTGTGGCCTCTCCCTCCTGCGAAATAACGATGTTTATGTTGATAACAAAGAACACTTTCTGCAGTGCTTGAAGTGAAAAAGTGTAACAGATGTGGAAGTTGGTAGCACCACCTGCTGGTGATCATGTAAAACTTGGAAAATGATGTTTTCTAACTTGCATAATGCCAAGAGTATGACTGTGGAGAACGTATAATAGTTAATCTATCTTTTGGCTCAATTTAAGATCTCTGTAAATATCTGTGTTTGTGTTAATTTCTGCTCTTAGATACATAGCTTCAACGTGAATCATCAGAACGTGCAGTACACTGGGAAAAGATGAGGGTTAAAATTTATCAAGAGTCTGTTAGGTCATACTATTTCAAGACATCAGATAGTTGAGTGCATCCTCCTATGAGGGCAAGAAATAATGATATGGATTGGGTACTACTGATGAGTTTTATCATTTTGGACAGGGTGGATTTATATTGTTACTAGGATGCACACTTTGGAGCTATATTCAGAATTCAGTATGGGTCATGGACTTTTGGAGTCTGTAGGCTTGCATAATTGACTGCGTTTGCCGTACTTGTTTAACTAGGAAGAAAAAAGAGCCCTGCTTGTATCTTTTTTCCAATGAGAATCTTATAAACCATGTACCATTTGCACGTTGCTGTATTTTTGTAAATTATTAAAACTGCACTGAGTCAATTAAATTTTGCTTTGGGAATCTGTCTGCAGACCAACCCCCACATCTGTACGTAAAAGCTACCAAAATGGCCATTTAAAGCATAGGAATAAAATTCTGATCAGATGTTAAGGAGACAGAGGAAAAGCCCCACTTGATTTCCTGGACTGTCTGCAAAGCTAGTTTTAGTAGTTTTGCACTGAACCATTGAACTGTGCTTAGAGAGCATCTTTCTAGTTCAAGTACACCCCACAATCTTGGGCATGTGCACATGGGTAGAGGGGCGAGAGGACATAAGGGGTACATGCGGGAGGAGGTGACAGAGCATAGGGCACAGGGGAAGAAGTTTGACAGGGCATGCGGGAGAGGGTGACATAGCACAGGGCCCAGGCACGTGGGGGAAAGGAACGAGGGAACACAGGGCATGGTGCGCATAGGGGAGGGCATGACAGAACACCGCACCCAGGCACATGGGGAGGGGGTGACAGGGCACAGTTGCACGAGAAAGGAAGTGACAAAACACAGGGGATGTGCACCAGGGAGAGAGGAGTGACAGAAGACAGGTTGTTTAAAAATAAAAAAAAAGAGGAAGGTGTGGAGAATGTATTCCATCTTGTGAATTGCTAAGAAGACTCTAGTTGTTTTAGGACTGATGGCCAAAGGGCAAAGCTTGTACACTGTGACACTTTTACATTCCACTACTGTATCTTGGCCAATGGGATGGCATGCAATGCGCCACGTAGAAAACATACTCCATTTCCAAAGCAAACCCCTTTAAGACTTTGTTTGTGAAAAAAATAAGAGCTATTTTTCAGGACCAATTATATCTTCACTTTTGTACATTTCTATTAGACAGCAGGCACCAGAAAAATGCAATAACCCTCCAAGTCATGCCACCCAGCAGTCACATTATTAAGCTCCCAAATCATTCATGTTGCTACAAGTGCTTCATGTAGTCAATCAGTTATCCAGGAATAAATATTACTCATCAAGGGTGTAAACTCTGGCTTCAGATGCACATGTGGAATTCTCACTCACTGCACTGGCAGCTGTGTTATTGGCGGGTGGAGTTGGTCTCTGGGAAACACAGATGAAGCCAAAGGGAATTTACAGTGTGATTCTGGGTCATGAAAACCCCCTTTCTCAAAGAATCTCTCACAAAATTGATGTATCCCATCCCATATGCACACAGTCAAAAAAGTACACTTCCACCTCTTCATTCTGAAAAGGCAGGGGAGGAGGCCTTTCTTGCTTTTTATAACTAAGGTCCAGATTGTCTCTTCCACTTCCAAAAACAGAGGTGACCCAGAATGGGTGGTAGAGGTGGGGGAGGGACTCCCTGTGGGAGAAGAGAAAGTGGGGGGAAGGGCGGGGAAGAGTGTCACATCCACAAAATGGACTATCCCTACCCCACCTCTTTCCCTCTCCAAGTTTGAGAACTGCTGGAAAGAAGAGGAGATGAAGTCAGGAACCACAGCCTTTCCAGAGCATGATCCCTGAGTGGCCTCACAGATATGAGAGTGAGATATTTCATCTGCTCTTGATGCTGTTTCATATAACATCATCTTCTGTTAAATCTTCTATGCAGCTGCGACTGCACAGCCATGCAGCAATGGCGGTATGGCTTCCACCTGAGCCATCCTGCTCAGGGAGGAGGATGAAGGGGGCAGCAGAGTAGCATTGAGGGGCCAGTCCTTCATCAGGCTGCCTCCGCATATCTGGAGGCTCCCTTCCCTATGGAAGGCCCTTTGGTGTAGGAAGGCTATGCTCCTCTCTACAGTGCCCCCCCTCCCCAATTCCTGCTACGGGGGGAGACAGTTTTCGGGAAACTCCTCAAGATGAACCTTGAGGAAGGAAGGAGTAGGAATGCAGCTGTTTGTGGAGAAAGATCTTGGCCAGAAATTTCCAAAATACCAGGCACCAAAAGCCTCTTAAATCTAGCAGAGAAAGGCAAACAAGAACCAATGGCTAGAAGCTGGTGCCAGATAATTGCAAATTAGAAATACAGAACACATTTTTATAACAAAGAGGGTGATTTACCATTGGAACAAAGGGAGTGGCGTATTCCCCATCTCTTGATGTCTTCAGATCAAGACTAGATGCCTTGAAGTTATGCTTTAGCCAAAAGATAAACACAAGTTATTGGACTCAGTACAGGGCTAGCTGGGTTAAATGTAATGGCCTGTGATATACCAGAGGTCAGACTAAGATGATTTAATGATCACTTCTGGCCTTAAATTCTATAAATCTATGAATGTGAAGCCTATACATTTGATGTTTATGCATCTAATGTTAAAGTATGTAGCCTTCACATTCCTGGATATTTTATTATATTAAATATTAACATTCCTCAAAGAGCAAAAATAACCAGCATTGAGGCAATTATTACCAAAGCACAGCTTAGATGGACAGATCTTATTACCAGAATGGGTAAGGCTAGACTCCCGAAAAAGTCCTCTATCATGAGATGAAACTCAGAAAGCACGGGAAGAGCAGTAAATGTAAATACTTCAAAGACAGAATCTCAAAGCATGAGGCATAAATGTAGATAACTTAGACACAGTCAAGGCCACACCTGAATGGAGAGCAATCAATAAAGGTGTGTAAACACTTTGAGAAAGACAGATACAAAAAACTCATTGAAAAAATGGCCACACATCATGCCAAGTCTTCAGCGGGAATCTACACATTCCCATGTGACATTTGTTCCCAACCTCGCTCCTCACAGATAGGACTATGCAGCCACAAGAGAACATGAGTTGTCATGATGTCATCGTTGAATATGATAGACAGCCACACATTTTATGTACAGCTACTCACCAATTCAAAATAGTTTAACATTTTAAATCTCTCTCAAAAAAAATTCAGAATCTGAGCCATATATTGTTGTCAGATGCTACCGGTGTGGTGCTCTGCTCTGTTCAATGTTGATATCAATCGGCTGCGTGCGTGTGTTCCCTCTGTGTGCTGCCCCAGCTCTGCACAGATAGCTGACACAGCAGACCCCGAGAGAACCCCCAATGACCACAAACTCTAGTAAGGTACGAAGGCACGTCGGCCAGGTTTATTGCCTTTAGAGATACACAGTCTCCAGCTCCCCAGCAAACGAAGTCCAGGGTGCTGCTAGGATGCAGCTAGCCAGTACATATGTGCTCCCTTGACAATGGACTCAGCTCAGTCAGTGGCGGGACTTTCCACTGCCCCCTAGGCCGGACAAAGATATCCACTCAGGGATGCATTCTTATACACAGGTACAAACAGATTACACATCACTCCTGACGTATTGAGGTGCAACCCCTCTACGTAGTAAGGTGCCGCCTTTCACCTTCTACATGTTGGTTTGAACAAAACAACTCTATCCATCATATTCCCCTTTTGG